TAGCACTTCATTATTTTTCACATTGTGAGCTTGTTCTTAACCTTTTTATAAACACACTTGAGGAGGATTCTGGTATGGGAAGACTCCACAGTTTTTCCACAATGTGTAGATCTAAAAAGAGAAGTGGAGGACCCTTTTTCTGTAGGGCTTTTTCTCCTGTGCATTGTTTGCCCTGGAGGAGCACTAATAGATCTGCTGTTCCTTCTCCCTTTTGAAAAGGGCTGATTTTTATGCATTTCCCTGTTTGTTTATGAAACTTGATTGCCTTATTATATTTCACATAGTTTCCCTGACTTTACTATTTAGTGATGTTGCCATTTTTTGTTAGTTTCTTTCAAGGCTTCTGTTACATGAGGGCAAGCAGTTATCTTCTGCCAATGAGCATGAATGCCTTATAAAAAAGCATGATGAGGAAATAATTATAACAAACTGTTTTGGCTAAGCATTTGTACAAAAGGCCATACAGGAAAAAATGAGCCAGAATGTAAGCACAGATATTAAAACCAAAAATATCTGGTTTTAACTCATTATTTTAGTATTTTACAATCCTGAATAAATAGCAGTTATTTTGCATTAACTAAGTTTAAAGAGTTCTTTAAAGGCCCACTGTCTTTCATCATCTATGCTAGATTAAAAAACAAAGTTTTCATTACTAGAGAGGCATAAAAATCTTGCTCCTCTAACCAGCCTAGCAGGAGAACGGATGGGTTTGATGGATGGACTATTGGATGGCTAAGAAGTTGGCTGGATGGCAGGGCCCAGAGAGTTGCAGTTAATGGCTCTTATGTCCAGATGCAGATCAGTCAGTCCTTCAGGGATCCATATTGGGACCAGTAGTATTTAGTATCTTAATTTAACAGCATAGACAGTGGGATTGAGAGTGCCCTCAACAAGTTTGCAGATGACACCAAGCGGAGTGGTTCAACTGATATGCTTGAGGGATGCTATCCAGGTGGGCTGCAACAGGCTTGAGGAGAGGGCCCACATGAACTTCATGAAGTTCAGCGAGGCAAAGTGCAGGGTCCTTCACCCAAGGCAGTGCAGTCACCAGTGTCTGAAGAGAGTGGGTGATGAATGGATTGAGAAGAGCCCTGTGGAGATCAGTTTGGGATGTTGCTAGATTAAAAAACAGACATGACCCAGCAATGTGAGCTTGCATCTTGGAAAGCCAACTGTATCCTGGGCTGCATAAAAAGAAATGTGCCCAGCAGGCTGAAGGAGGCTATTCTTCCTTTCTACTGTCTCCTGCAAGACCCCGCCTGGAGTACTGCATCGAGTTCTGGCATCCTCATCATAAGAAAGACATGGACTTGTTAGAGTTGATCCAGAGGAGAGCCATGACAATGGTCGGAGGACTGGAGTACCTCTCCTATGAAGAGAGGTGGAGAGAGTTGGGATTGTTCAGCCTGGAGAAAAGGAAGATTCAGGGAGACCTTACTGAGGCATACCAGTGCTTAAAGTGTGCTTAGAAGAATGCAGATGGAGAGACTTTCTATCAAAGCTTTATAGGACAAGGGGTAATGGTTTTAAACTAAAAGGAGGTAGATTTAGATTAGATACAAGAAGTTCTTTACTGTGAGGGTGGTGAGGCAGTGGCACAGGTTGGCCAGGGAAGCTGTAGCTGCCCTGTCCCTGAAGTGTTCAAGGCCAGGTTGGATGGGTGTCCCTTCCTGTGGCAGGTGGAGTGGAACTAGATGGTCTTTAGTGGTCCCTTCCAAACTAAAGTATTCTGTTTCTAACTGTGGTTGGATAACTGCTTATAAATGTATAAATTTGCTGAAGATAGAGGTAAGAATATGTGTGCTGTCAGTAGGTATTGAGAAAGATGTTTGTGCATATTACAGTATCTGCATTCAGAAAAGTGGGGGGTTTTTTTGTCCCTCTTTAATTTGGATCAAACTATGCTGGGGATGCCTGTATTTTATGGAATTAAATTCTGTTTAATACCAAAAGATTGAGTTAAGATATTTTAAGAAATGCCACATTATTTAATTTGGTAGAGAAACTTGAATATTTTTTATTTTTATTTTTTCCCTGAAAGCAAGTATTGCATTAAATGTTGTAAAATTGCAAGTAGGTATTTTGCACCATGTCCTCGCTTTGCCCGTGTACAAATACTGCTTCTTTGGACTTCTGCTGTGCGCTAACAGACCTAAATTGCCAGTTTTCCAAGTGAATGTATTTCTCAAAACAAAATGTATTTTTGGGAAATGAAAAGCTTCTACAAACAGAATTGCCCCCCCCCCCCCCCCGCCTTTTGCATCTTCCAGGGGTTAAATTTAGGATTTGTGTTTTTCCTTTAAGTGGCTGTTAAAACCTGAAACATTGTATGCATTGTCCAAAAAGCCTACATTTATAGAAGTGTGTTCTTTATTTTGCTGTTTCTTTTGGTTCATTTTTTCTTTTTCTAGGTTGCATTATCTGTCCTTAATGCTAAACTTGCCTCTCTGTTACCTGGAGGAAAATAATGGGATGCTGGCAACAGCCCATGTTACCCTGTTGGGTTTTGGCATAATCTGGATGTGTGGTCCTAAAGTATCTGACTGCACACCACTGATGCTTCAGAATCACTCATGTCCACTTCCATGTTTCTCAGCACTGTGTTGTAGCTTTTTTGATGCTTTGAATTGCCCCGTCCCCTTTTTGTCCTGATCACTTCAAAGTTGATGCACTGGTCAGGTGTGGTCCCAGTATATCTTTGTGAGTCAGCGATTCTGCCTTGTAGCTATGTATGTCACAGGTGAAGGAGCTACTGTGCCTGTCTCTTCTGGGACTGTTTTTGGATTGGCAAAGTGGCTTTTTGAATCTAGGCTAATTTCATACTTGCTCTGTGAGTTGCTTTTACTAATGTTTTGGGTTTTGAGAGTGCTGACCAGGAATGCCCAAACTGACTCTGCTAAGGCGCTGTCTGAATGTAACCAAAACGTTTCTGGCACTGCAGTGGCCCCAGAAGTAGATGGGCTGTAGTTGCATATCATTCAGCAAAGCCAATAGCCAGGATGAGTGACCCGTGATTTTGTAAATCACCTGTGTGTAACTGGAAGTTGAGCACTGAGCTACGAGTATAAAACAGAGAAGAAACTGAAAGGAGACTCTTCATTTTCTGTCTCTTTTCTCCCTTTCCCCTGTGGTGTTGAAGAGTACTTAAACATTTGAATTCTAGAGGCATATTGCTTTTTTGTTGTGTAAGAAGTAATGTAGAATATTTTGCAACAGTAATTAGCATTACTGAGAAGTAGTAACAGTTGTTTTAAAAGTGGATGTCTAGCTGTGAACTTGTTATAATTTCACTGTTTTAATGGAAATCCTTTCAAGCTGAGAAGACAGATACTTAGGCTTGGTCAAACCAATTTTTTTCATTTTTTCTTTTGATAGCTATATGACGTTTTAGTTAAAACTATTTTTAACAGGAAAAGATAGGAAACAAAAAAGCATCTCATGTTTGCAGGGAGAATTGGAAAGGGAGTATTGCAGGGAGTATCTTGGAAACTCAAATATGACTGAAGAGTATCTACTTGTTAGCTTTGGAGTGGTACATTATTACAAGCATGGGCAGCATGACCTGTATTTAAGATTGTTTTATCCTTTCTACTGTCTAATCCTGTTTACTGTTACATTTTACCTTGTCAAATGTAAGCAAATATGAATTATGTTTTCTGAGGTTGAATAAATCTCAATAAATAAATTTATTGTTAATATCTGTGTGGATATTAATCTACTCCAATACATTGCATTGCTGAGGGTGTGTAGTAGAAGAGCAGACTGTTACTTTGGCTTTATTTCTGCTTCAATGACCATTTTATGGAAAGCCTTCAATTCTTCCTGTCTTTAGGAAGGAAATAAAAAATGGTCTATGGATGGTCATTCCCATTGTCAGGTTTCTCATTTTTGAGCAAACATGCTTCTAAATATGTGTTGTAAACCAAAATAAAATGTAAATTAGATCAGGAATATCAAAACGGGCTTGGCATTTTGTGTCTATTCTTCTTTTATGTATGGAAGCAGCAAATGCTAGACAGTCCCTTGTCTGTTAACACCTAGGATTGTTGGAGAAAAGAACAGTGTATTGTTCAAAGCTGTATATTGTGAATAATCAGAAGTTTTCACACTAAGTAAATAGCCTTGGATGATGGAGTCCTGACTCAGTGTGAAGGGAGGAGTTGTTTACAATTACCACCTATCAGTCATAGTTATGAAGTTAGTTCATACACAGTTCTCACAAGGTAGCAAATTTGTGATGAATATCTGTCATCCTGGATTGCTTCTGCTGGGAGGTGTATGTAGTAGTAAAAAGAATAGAGTTATTACTGCATCCGGGGAGAAAATTGTTGCTAAACTCTGCTACCTCTGTACTGTGGTTGTTAGGTGTTAATGAAGCTACAAAGCTGTGTTTAAAATGGAGAACCCAGCTGGATTTTTGCTTAAGCATTTGTAATACTCTTAAGTTAACACAGTGAATGAATTAAATCTGTACTTTTTCAATTTCTGTGGTTTTAAGTGGCAAAATTGCTACATGCTCATTCTCACTGGGCTACATGTTTTTGTTTAATGGAAAACAAAAGGATTTGATTCAGCAGGCATACAGTGATGAATATCGTAAATATTTGGTTAAGCTTCTGTTATGCTTCCATAAAGGTAGTCAAGTATATTAGGTGCCCTAGAAACAAAAAATGAGAGCTACTGTATTTGCATATTATATGTATTTTCTTTGTAACTTTACCTGCAGGTGTCTGCTGTATTTAGTACTAATAAAACTAGGTATATAGTGACCATTGCAAAGAAAAACTTCTTACCTTTTAAGAATGTTGGATCTTAATTTTTATTGGGCATTTTTTATTTTTAATTAGGGATGCCTTTTCTGGTGTAATATATGCTTAAAATCCTATGAAAATTAAAAGTGACATTTTCTTCTGGAAAAATAGTGTATTTTTATACTGCTTGCAACTGCAGAATATATTTCTGATAACTGGGTTTTGTTTAATTTTTTTTTTTTTTTTCAGTTGTACTCACTAAATGATTATAAGCCACCCATTTCTAAAGCTAAAATGACACAGATCACCAAGGCAGCAATCAAGGCTATAAAGGTAAGAACTTGTCTAACTTCTTTTGGCTTCCTTTCAGTTTCTCATCTGTGTTTAAATAACTGAACAGCTTAAAGAACTTGCTTCAGAACTTTCCACCTCCTTTGTTGTGTATATAACTTCCAAGTTATGATCAAATGTTATAGTGATGGGATTTTCAGGAGTGCAACATAAGGCTTAATGTGTTGTGTCACTTTCATTTGCTGGTTGTCATATGTGAGAAAGAATTATACCAGCTTGATTCTTCAGTCAGATCTGAAAGACAGTTGTTTGGTTTTTTTTTTCCTCGGTTTAAAAAGGAAACACGTTGCCTGAGAACAGATGAATAAATATAGAACTACAATCTGCCCCTTTCTGTCCACCCTAAAATCTAAGATGTGTGCCTTTGGATCAATATAGTTGTTTTAAGTTTTATTTGATTTTTGTAAATTCTTAACGTACGTTTTCACAGGTGTTGTTCATAGGTTTTATTTTTTATGTTGCCTGAATAGAAATTATTCCTAAGACTTTTTCTTGCCACAAAGTAAAACTAATTGCCAAACAGTAGTGGAGCAGCAGAGACAGCACTAAAAAGTGATGAAGTATGCCATTAGTGTTAAGTACTTAAAGCTAGAGAGGTAAAAAAGAGGATAGGATAGAAGCAAAAAAGTCATGAGGTTACGCTCTTCCTATGTACATTCCTCTGCTGAAAATGCAGATGTGTTTTTAGATAATTAAAATTGGTGTTTTGTGTAGTTTGGGGAGAGAGCAGTATGTCCTGGGTTCAGCTGTAACAGTTATTTCTCTCCTCCGTAGTAGTTGGTGCAGTGCTTTGTTTCAGCTTTAGTCTGAGAATAGTGCTGTAACACGCCAATATTTTTAATTGCTGCTAAGTAATGCTTACCCCAATGGCTTTTCAGTTTCATGCTCTGCCAGTGAGGAGAGGCACAAGAACCCGGGAGGGAACAGATACAGGACACTTAACCCAAACTAGCCAAAGGGGTATTCCATACCACAGCACATCATGCCCAGGATATAAACTGGGGGAGTTACCCAGAAGGCCTATATCGCTCCTTGGGTCAGGCTGGGTATCGATAAGCAGGTGGTGAGCAATTGTATTGTACATCACTTGTGTTTGTTGTTTTTTTCTTTTCCCCTTTTAGTTTTATATTCTCACCTGTCGCCATTAATCCCAGCTGGTAACTCAGAACCATGCAGTTGCTTGCTCACTCCTCTCCCCCCCACTTCTTCTTCTGCCTGCTCCCAGAGGGATGGGGAGGAGAATCAGAAGAATGTAAGAGATAAGAACAGTCCAGTAGCTAAGGTATAACACAAAACCACTACTGCTGCCACCAATAATAATAATGATAAGGGAAATGACAAGGGGAGAGCATACAACTGCTCACCACCCGCCGACCGATACCCAGCCTGACCCGAACAGTGGTCTACCCCTTCCGGGTAACTCCCCCCAGTTTATATACTGGGAATGATGTACTGTGGCATGGAATACCCCTTTGGTTAGTTTGGGTCAGGTGTCCTGTCTTTGCTTCCTTCTGGCTTCCCCTCCTGCCTGGCAGAGCATGAGACTCACAAAGTCCTTGGTCAGAGTAAACATTACTGGGCAACAACTAAAACCATCGGTGTTATAAGCATTGTTCCCAGGCTGAAAGTCAAAAACTCAGCACTGCACCAGCTACTAGGAAGGAGAAAAATGACTGCTACTGTTGAACCCAGGACATCTCCCCTTGTTATTTCCTTTATTATTAATAGTAGTAATAGTGGTTTTGTATTATACCTTACTTATTGGACTGTTCTTATCTCAACCCATGGGATTTGCATTCTTTTGTTTCTCCTCCCTATCCCTCTGAGAGCAGGGAGGAGAGAAAAAGGGGGAGAGTGAGTAAGCCGCTGCATGGTTCCGAGTTACTGGCTGGGCTTAAACCACGACAGTATGATGACAGAAGAGTGAAATTCATTGGCATTCTTAAATAAGAGGAGCCTACATAAATTAAAATTTGTGTATTGCAGTATAATGAAAATGTGAAAACTTGCACTAAACATAAAGGAGTAGTAAACGATGTAAATGGTTCTATAAATTAAACAACTGCATGGTACCAAAATGTTTTTATCATCTGCTTAACTTGGAAATCCTGCTTCCTCTCTTATAATTTCAGTTACAATATTTGTGTAAGGTAGTTATTGGGGTGATACAGGGCCATTGTGATATGTGAGATTAAAAAAAATACCAACAAAACAAAATATAAGCCCCGCCCCACCCAAAGAAAAAAAAAACAAAACCAAAAAGCACCACCACAAAACCACACCTAAAAAGTTGCAAAACCTGACTAACGACCACCACCAAACCCCAACCAAAACCCATAAAAAAACCTGGCCAGGTCAACTTAAAAAAATAGAAGTATTCAGTGGATGCTATAAGGTCTTCCTATCTTCCTGTACTCATGCTTTTAGGTTATTAAAATGAACAGTTGGAAAATAAACATAGGGAAGTACATGCTGTACTTAATAACTTTAGGTTAACATCTTCAGTCATGTACAATGAAATAACCACGTTTTTGAAGGAACAGTTATGTTATTCTCTTAGTTCTCACTAAAGAAGTGCATGTTATTAAAAAAATGCAGTGTAAAAAACCTTCAGAAGGCAAGAAAAAGTGAGAGTTTTCTTTGTATGCTGTTCAGTGTTCTAAGGAAGACAGCAAACTCAGCTGTAGGTATTGGATTGCTATGTTTCTGTTCCTGGTTCTACTGTCAATATTGCATGACTTGAACAAATACACGGATCTTGAGTTTTTCTCCTCTGAAATACTGTTTTATTTTTCAGTTCTACAAGCACGTTGTACAGAGTGTTGAGAAATTCATTCAAAAGGTATGTCAGTTATGGGTGTTTTATGTTAGCACTGAGAAAAATTTCTTCATTTTGGATTACAGAGTATTGAGGAGAATTAGGGCTTAGGTACACATAGATTAGTATTTTTATCACATGTTAGTTTAGTTTTTAGTCACATTCAGTTTCTTCTTGTAATCAGTAGCTGACCCATGATGCAGAAAGACAATACTTTGTCCTCATTTTGTATGTGTGGTATACTTTGATCTCAATGACTGTAGATAATGTCTTAAGACTACTTCTGTATGTATTCATTTAATGTTACAAGAGGCTGTCAGGGTGGCCCATGTGAACAGAAAACTGCAAAAGAATTGACAGTGTTTTGGCGAGTGACAGCTGCTGTTGCTGTTCTGCCAGGTTTTCCCATAGTTTTTAAAGCTGAAGGGAAGATGACCATTCAGCCTTATCTTTTGTGTAGCAGGAGATGTAGCATTTCAGTTTGTGGTTCCTGCTAGTAATTTAAAACAAAAAAATATTTGTATGATTAGACTGGAATTACTTTTTGAGAAGATACAGGATTAATTTAAGGATTCTGAATAACAGAGAATCTTATTGCATTTTGTTTCCTTGCAATAATTAATATTCTTGGGTAAAACTGCGTGTTACCTCCAGTTGGAAAAGCATGGATTCCAATTTGTGAGTTTTCCTTCCTTGTCTGCATTGTACCTGATTGCTTAGTTGGTCATTTTAGTACTGAATTTTTCTCCTTCTGTAAATAGGAGTAAATTATGATCAAATTGCCTTTTTATTTTGACAAACAAGCTAGAGAAGTTAGTCTGTTAATGTTGCAATATTGGATGCAATTTTTCTTCTGTTGTCTATTTTACCATGCAGTCTGGATTGCTCTGTGTCAGTAACCTGTCTTTCTCACTACCTTTTGTTTCTTGGCGCCCAGTGCATGGTGCAGTGGCTTTTGGCAGTGGTTGAACAGTGTCAGCAGGGTTCAACTTCAGCCTGGTGTTTTTAACTGTCTCAGAACAGTTCATGAATTAATTATTTAGGTACTGGCACATCAGCCCTATGTGGAAAAGGTATCATATGTATGTTTCATGGCAGTAGCAAAGACTGGTAGTTTACCATCACTGCTAGTGTTTTGTGAAGTAGTTGTCTTTTAGGGCATTGTCTCTGACTTCTTCCACCTCTAAAAAGTGGTATTGATAACCTCTGATCCTTGGTTAATACTACAGGTGAACACAGGAGAATGAGAGCAGGTGTACATCTTACCCCTCTCAGATTGGTAGCACTTTGCAGTTCCATGTGCTAAAATTAATCTGGAATTGCCCAAGTTCCAAATACTGCTTTTTGTTGTGATGGTTGTGATTGATTATTCTGTATTCAGAGGCATGGGAGATTTATCCTCTGAATGAAAGCATGACCATTTGTCAGGAAATGGACTGGTTGTTCGTGACCTTTCCACAAGCTAGTAAGAGTACATTTGTGTTCAGTGTCTAGTACTACTTGATGAGGGAGTTCTGCACTGTTCATTGCTGGTTGGAGAAGGAAGGTGGGTGTTGTTACTGATAATCTTGTTAATGATCACTGGATTAGATGTTTCCCTTTAGTGGGCTTGATTTTTTTTTTTTTTTTTTTTTGTCTTGGGGTTTGGGGGTTTTGTTTGTTTGTTTGGGGTTTGTTTTTTTTTCCAGTATTTCATGAACAATTGAGTGAAACACAATTTATGAACAACATCATATAATAGTAAGTTCCTATTTTAGTAGAATTGGAAATCAGCAGATGAAAGCTAGCTGTTTGATACTCATGGACTTACTCATGTTTGGAAGATAATTGGATTATTTTTTCTGGAAGCAGTCACTTCAAGTTAAAGCTCAAGATACTGACTCTTCTGTTAAAATACGCCATAGACTTGTCCAGAGTGCTATCAGTACTCTCTCAGTTATTTTACTGTTGATTCTTTACTACTCTATTTTCTTTCTTCAGAATTAATCTCATGAGGTTACTGAAACTCCAGGTGAAATAATTGCCTGTGACATTCTTTGTTTTGTGACACTTAACTCACTGGGCTGTTCTATTCTCTGTCGAAACATTTCACAGGTCTAATGACCACATTTCATATATGTAAGGATATTCCATTGTGAGAGCAAGACTTGAATAAATCCTTTGAGTAATCAAATTATCTTATTGCTTAGACCGACTCAGAAAATAAGTGAATATTTGTTATGGAAAATATCCACTGAGAATTTTGTTGTGGAAAACATCTACTGATATTCCACATTTGTTATGAAAAATGTCCATCTGAGATTAGGAATATGCAGGCTCACTGCCCCGGCTGTAACTCTTCTTTATGTTTTAACTTTTATTATCCTTTTTTATAAGATATATTATTAATTATAATATTTTTTCTTTCTGTATATGTCATGTTTTTAAATACTCCATTTGACATGTTTGCTGAGTTTTCATATTAAATATCTGTGCCTTTTATTAATTTGAATATTGTGAAATATTGTATACAGGTCTGTATCAGGAATGCTCTTGGTAATTTAACTTTTCAATAGCTACAGTACATTGAGGTTATTATCTGAAGACAGTTTACTATATCCTATTAGATTTTAATTTTGTAATTTCATAATGCACATTTATTCTTGAGAGGATGCTGCACACATCCTTAAAAATAAGGAATGCCATAGTTAACACTGAACATGTTTAGATCCTAAATAAATGCTTTATCAAGGTTGCAAATGTTAGCATATCAGCACTTTTCAGAAAAGGAAGTTTGTATGTAGGCTATAATAAAATTAATAGTCTGAATAGTTTGACACTATATTAGAGATTATGAATTTAGTGTGTTGCATAATATGTTTATAGACTATGTGGACCAGAGAGGGAATGGGTGTACTTTCCCATGTTTCCCTAGTACCTTGTGTGGTAAGTGTATACAACCAATATTCATGAAGTAAATCTGTGTCATAGTATAACTATATAGGTACAGTCACCATTCTGGTAATGACTTCGTTATGTCTTTGTGCTGCTTTTCATTCTGTCTTAAAACTTTTAGCAGTAGTTATTTATGGTGCAGTTACTTTGCAATTAAAACACAAAAGTTTTAACTTGTTAAGTAAAATTAACTAAGTAATTAGTATAGTTAGCAGACATGCTTTATAAATACCATGCTGTTCATAAATTACACAAGTTTTCCAGACCAGTATCACTAAATATTCTCAAACAAACAGATGTCCACATAAATATGTGGGTTTTTTTTCGCAAGGGGAGGATATGCCAAGCACTAATAAAATGTAAAGTAAAGTAAATGAATGTTAACTTTAATATTGACTTTGATCATAAAGAAGGACTGAAATATTTTGAATTGTACTTACAGCTAATACCAATGTACTGTTAAGAATTCGGCCATGCTTTATTCTGTTTTCTTAAAAAAAGATGTATGCGTTTAAAAAGGCTGTGTGGTTCGTGTGCTAATTTTTAATAGCTAGATTCTAAAATGTTATTTTTTTAGTGGTAGGAAATAGATTTTAAACCATTTACGTATTTGCAGAATACATATAGATGTGATAACTTGAATATTAAGGCTGGCTGGTTTTGAGTGAGTGTAATCTTTCAGGAGAATTTATTAAATAGAAAACATTTTATTAGTACTTTGCCTTGTTTAAAAATTAAAGAGGACTCATCACACTTGTTCTGCCATCAGTGTTTTTTGTTATTTTTCACATATGTGTATTTTAAATTACCATTCTTTGTAGTGCAAACCGGAATACAAGGTACCTGGTCTGTATGTCATTGACTCCATTGTGAGACAGTCCCGGCATCAGTTTGGACAAGAAAAGGATGTATTTGCTCCAAGGTTCAGTAATAACATCATCAGCACTTTCCAGAACTTGTACCGTTGTCCTGGGGATGATAAGGTAAACCACTTACAGATTTTTCTAATTAAGGCAATCTTTAGCATGTTATCTGTGAGGAAGAAAGATTTTGATCTTGCTTTCTGCTTGCTAGATTGGACCTAATTATAGACTTACATGTTTATATGTATTTCTTTGATTTTGCTTGTCTGAGTGTAGGGATGGGGGAAGACACTTCCATTAGATTAGTTAGACTTTTGGAAAGGTTTCTAAGAAGACCAGGTCGATTCAAGTTAATGTATTTTGATGGAGGGAAAAATTAAGTGGGCATGTGGTAGAACAGGGATTTATAGTCAGACTTTTATTGATTTCTTCCCCTCTTCAGTGAAAAAATGAGCAAGCAGGTTTTTTATAGTGTCAAGGAATAGACATCTTTCTTGGCAGCAGTATCTTCAGTGCAAGATAGTCTGTTTTGGACTGAAGGAGCAATAGAAGAGAAACAAAATATCTTAAAAGTTATCTTTCCTTTGATACTGAATCAGCCAACGACTGAATAAGGCTGAACTTAAATAGTTTGACCCAATAGTTCAGCTGTTCCCTTGGACCACAGTAGTCAAGACCGCTACCAAATTATCTTTATAATAGATTGGCTGGAAATAAGCAGCGTGTTCAGGCAGTTTAACTTCCTTTACATTTGTCACTAATCTTAAAAGAGCTGGAGTTTCTTCTTACTGAATTGAAAAATTACAAAAAGATGGGAAATGCTATAAGCTTTATCCTCCACATAAATTTGTGTAATAGAGTCATTAAGTGAAGTAGTGAGTGAGGGGGAACACTGCAGGAAGAGGAAGACAAGTTATTCTTGGAATACACATGCATTCATACAGCTGTAGTTTTCAATCAAAGATCTGGAAACTCCAGGCATGCATAGAAGATGATTAAGTAAGGCAAGTTCAGCCAGTGCATGTCTCCTAGAGTTGTTTTTAAGATTCCTGCCTTTTTAGAGGAGTTAGGACCTCTGTATGTCAGGATTTGCAAATTTTAAGTGGTTGGAAAAACTGCTGTGAATGTCTTCTCTTCTGCAACTGAGTTCTGAGATACTGTTGAACAGATCAAGTTAAATGACATTTTTCCAGTCTGGTTTTAGGTTATCTGCATGATCAACGTGTGCTGCTTTTATTCCATAGTGTTTTATATATAAATAGGCAAGATAGTTAACATGTTTTTCTTCATATAGTTGTATTGCTTAAGCAGTATTAGTTTGTTTTGTGTAATCATTTGGTTTACTACTCTGGGAAATGCACTAATGCAGAAATAGCCTGACTTATTGAAGAAGGAGATCTGGCACAAGGGTGGGTGCAAGTACACAGTAAGTTTCTGGTTAAAAAAAAGTATAGTAAATTTATTGTAGGGTAAGAAATAGCACTACTCATGCTGTGATATTTCAGTGCATGGCAACTAATATCACATTAGACATGTTTAATGTGAAGGGGGTTAGTAAAGCAAAATCTGTTTGTAAAGCACCTGTCAGGTTCATTTGTAGAATCTTTTTCATCTCAGTTAGGGAAAATGTATTTTACAATATGAAGTCTTGCTGCTGTGTTGTGTATGGATTCGTTATTATAGGAAAGCCTTTGCTGTGAAAGTAGTTATATATCTAACCCAGCAAAAAATTATGCTGATGCTGTCAGAGATACCAAGATACGTTCCTGTTTTCTAGCATTTTGATGTTTAATGTGATTAAAAAGTGTGACTGACAGAGAAACACAAGTTATTGTTATATAAGCAAATGTGGTTTTGTTTTTAAATCGAGCAGAAATACAGTAGCGTTTTATTTAAAATAACAAAACAACTCCCCCTGATTCCTTTGGCTCAGTGATGGGAAGTACAGTGGGGAGATAGATACAGAGGCACAGAAGTAGTTTTATATTCCAGTTCTGGATGGAAGAAGGAACTCTACATCTTCCATGCAGTGAAAATTCATCATTTCTCACTATTAAAGTTAATTATTGTCTTGGAGTTCAGGGCAGACAGAGGTTCATATTTCACAAAATTTAAATAAGTAAATCATCTTTATGACAGCAAACATAAGCTCTTGTAAAGAACTTTCTGCTCTCTATGATACAGCAAACTTTCTGTTCCCTCATCTAAGCAAGGATCTTTTACTATCACATATATTTCTATTCAGCTTTTCAAAATAAAGCAAAATCTTGCCTTTTGGTAGAAGTGAAGCTGAGAAAAGAAAACATTTGGGAGCAGATCAAAACAGTGGAATAGAAATGCAAGCTGAACAATGAGTTACATGTAATGGAGTTGTATGAAATCTTAATTTTGATTTTTTCTTACCCATGATGCACATTTTTTTAATGTTGCAGTGTAATTTCAATAGGTAGGAGTTGTGTTCCAGTTTAAATTTTTAAATTCCTTAGTTTATCAAGCGAGTTTGCAAAATATTGACGACTTTCCTAATAAATGTATGTAGCAGTCTTATTAGTATGTGCATATATTTCAGTGGACATAAAGAATTTTGGTTCATAGGTAGGTTAGAATTACATTCCTATATGTTGACTGTAGAAGTTGAGACTAGTAATTCCTCTGTTTAATTATTAATAATTCTTAAAAATACTTAAAACAATTGTTCTTCCATACCATCTTCTAAAAGTAAAGGTGCAGAAGAGCTAGATGCATTTGCTTGGCTTTAATATATTTAATTTTCTGTTGAGAAAAGACTGTCACTATATGCATAGTGTATCTTTACTGTTGGCTAGGGTCAGCTTCAGGTTCATAGCTTAGACATCTTTGGTGTGATCCAGTGTAACTGTTCTTAAGGCTTTTATGGTTTGTAAACTTAAAGGTGTTTCAGTCTAGATGGATTGACATTGCTAGTTAAGAATTTCGTAATTGATAATAACAAGAAAGATAATCATGACTCAGATCTTCTTTTATCCTTTCTTCCTTTTAGAGTAAAATTGTTAGAGTGCTGAATTTATGGCAGAAGAATAATGTGTTCAAGAGTGAAATTATTCAGCCTCTTTTGGATATGGCAGCAGGAATTCCTCCTCCAGTTGTGACCCCTGTCTTGCCCAGCACTACAGCTGCTATGAGTAACAATACACCAGGTAAATGAGGACGGGTTAAAACCATACTTAGGATCAAAACATTTGTGTCAGCTTTGGTGCATTGGCGGTTAACATGCTGAAAAATGTCACACGTTTCCCTTATACAAATCAAATAAATGCTAGAAAGAAACAGAGCCAGCATCTTGATCAGGGAAACGACAAAACCAAGAGGCAGCCTGCTGTGCTTACTTCCCAGCAATATATTATAAGTATATTCAGGTTGAGTAACAGTGCAGTGAGACCTAGTTTTGCTCTCTAAAGTCAGAACAGTAGATCACCGACAAGTTAAAAACCTAACACAGGGCTTAATACAGTCTTTGTTAGTGGTGCCACAACTGAGAGAAACGAAAGAGTACATCAGTAGTGTTTTGCTATCCATAGCATTGAGCTTGCTGGATAATGAAAAGAGAGTGCTCCTTTAACTTGTGCTGGCCAACAGACAGTGATTTCAAGGGAAAAAAAAACCACAATACAGACTGCAGCTGGTGACATACTTCTTTCTCCTTCAGATCTGAGATCTCTGCTGGAGAATCATAGGCAAAAAGTTGCTCATGGAGTATGTTCCTCTTTGCTAAACGTTAACATTACTGTGCATGCAGACTTGGTAATTTTGTGCTCTGTCTTCCTTACTCAGATGGCAGGGAGCTGGCTTTTCAACTTTTTTTGCTTGTGGAGATTTTTTTCATTCCAGATTGGGAGTATTTTACGTATAGAAATTGGGTTTTGGCACATGCAGACCTGCTCTTGTCACCCACCTTTAGCTGACACTGCTGAAAAGCAGTGAGGTGGACAAATGCACCTTACTTTTTGTGGGTGTTTGTAAATGTGTGAGATTTCCAGCTCATGGATTGTATTGACTGCATTTTCTAGCTGAGTGTTTTTTATTGTCATTAGTTTGATTAGTTGAAATTGCTGAAATCATAGGTCTACTCTAATGCTTTTTAAAATTCTGATGTAAATTGTCTTTAAAACAGCTAATCTAGTCATTTACACTTAGCATCCATTTTGGCATATTTCTGTTTCTGAGCTAAAAGCAGGACTATTTATGAGGATGGAGGATTCTTCTGGATTATGGCATGAAACTAGTTATCATTACTGATTTTGTCTCGGTGTTCCACTTGAGGGGAAAAAAAAAGAGGCTACAATAAGCAATCCTCATGAATCCAGCTGCTGCAGGTTAAAATTTCTAATAGTATCCTTTAGGCTTCTCTTGGGGTAAGGTGCAAGTCAAGCAAATTCTGGACTAACAGATGTTACTGATTAGATTACTAACAATTATCATTTGGTATATATTGTTTCCATTAAATGGTTTGGATTACTGTGTGAAATCTATTCATTTTGCATTTGTCAATGTTTTTGTTAGTAGTCCCCATAGGTCAGTAGTGGAAAGAGCTGTGAACTACACTTACAGTAATCCTGCTACCTGAGAAATGTTGATAAGAGTCTGTTATTTTTGTGTGCTCTATGTGTGTGTCAGAAAAATGGTTTCAACTGATGTTAATACAATTCTTTCTCAGTAATAGCCTTTTTTTTTTTTTTTCATTCTTCTAACACGGTTTCTAGTTCTCTATGTTAAAATATTTTGGCATTGGATTTTCTGGTTTTTAGGAACACCTGTGACTCCAGTTACTCCAGCCAATGTAGTGCAAAGTTTACCTGATCCTTGGGTGTCTCAGATTGCTAATACAGATACCCTTGCTGCTGTTGCACAAATTTTACAGAGTCCTCAAGGCCAACAGGTAAATATTTTGTAGACAGTTACCCTGTACACTGAGTGATACTTTGTGTCTTTACAGTACACTTAAGAAGTGGAATGCACTTTGTGAAATGTGGAGGAATAGCTTTTGAAGAAGGAAAGGATGTTAAGTGAGACTGGAAAGCGTGGAAAGTTAGTAATGTAATTTTAAAGAAAAAAAGGGTGAAGCAAAAGAAAACTATTATGCAGATGAGAAGTGAATGAAAGGTTTAAAACCTGCAAATCACAAAGAAATTACATTGGATATTTTGTTCAAAATGGTAAAATATTGAAGAAAATGGATTTGAGGAGAGGGAAAATATGGTCTTAAGTAGAAGCGTGGGGACAAACTGGATATACTGTAAATATGTACGTGCAGATCTTTAGGATTGGTAGGTGAACTGCAACATTTGCTTTGATTCTCTGTCTCTTTTTTCCTGTTCTTCATGCCACTCCACCTGCCCCCTTCCCAGGCACCAAAGTCTTTGATTTCATTTTAAAATTGTGTTTTATGTGTGAGAGTGCATGTAGGTAAGTTGGAAGTCTAGACATAGGAGAGGGCAGAGTGAAAAAGATGTGACCAGCAAGAACGTGAAAACAGCAAAAATGGTGACTACCCAGGATTTTCTCACTCTGCGGCTTCTATCTCTGCTTCTTCAGTTTGATTCCTTCCTACTCAGAGCAGTGAACAAGGTGGACCAGCCTTATTTGCTCATCTTCTGTGGATCAGCCAAGAACAGAGAGGGTAGCTCTTCAGCTGTACGTGTTGTAGTAAAGGTAGAAGAATAATGGAAGCATTTTCAGAGGCTCAGCTGTAGGAGTCTGTATGATTGTTTTTAAAAAAACAGGAAGAGTTGTTTCACATTATCAGAAGGTCACTGTAAAACAATCCTGAAAAAGGATCATACATCTTTGATGCATTGTGGAAAAGACGATCAGTGTAATTAGCTTGTGCAGAGTTTCTGATGATCCGTAGTAAGAAGGGAGGGATTGAACCCAAAAGAGATCAGTGGGGTACCCTACAAGGAGGTAGAATATGAATGTAAAGGTAATCAGGGTCTTTGAATCCAGAGACTGGATTTGCTCAACTTTTTTTCCAAGACTGCCCCAAAAGTAAGGCTCCAGGGGTTTACTTCTTGGAAGGTTAAAAGACAGCTTCTGCTAATTCCACGGTACATTAAGAAATCTTTTTTCCGTAGGATTAGTATTCTTTACTTTTTTGTTAAGGTAATTCTGTTCAAAACAAACCACTCCAATCACCACCCCCAAAACTATTTTTAAATAATATTTGAAACACCCAACGCTATTTTTAGATAGTATGTTTTAACATCTATCTTTTGATGTTACCCATACTTTGTTTTTACTGTAACATACTTTGGTGTTACTATACATCTGTTGCCCTGGAGTGGCTGCTTCTGGTTTAGCATTGCATCTAGGCAAATTTTATCGTGAGATAGTCCTATGTAGAGCCCAGAGTCTGTGTCATTGAAGGATGTCAGTTTATATTCCCAGTTGCTGGTCAATTTGCTTTTTGTCTTTTGTTAACAGAACAAAGGAATTGCATTCAGTCACCACAAACCTGAGTTTCAGCATGAGATTTTTCATTGTGACTAGAGACACTAGTGCAGACTTTTCATATAGTCCAAATGCATTAGCTTAAAGTGGAGCTTGCAACAGTGCGTTTACTTTCTCTACACAAATGTTACAGCATACAGATTTTCCTAATATACATGGGCCCTTAGGAAGCTGAAGTAGGCTAACAGATTTTTTTCAGGTCAGAAGGAATCAAACTGGAGAAACTTCTGAGGGGGAACCCTAGAAAGCAGGAAATCCTGAGTGGTGACTGGTCATCATGCAACCTGTCAGAGCAAGTTAGGAGAAAGAAGCATCTGCATGTCTTATCAGCTACAGAAAACAAATTAGCCAGTAAGTGGGAACAAAATTTGCCATAAATGAAAACAAATAAAGATGAAATATTAGCCATAGGTTAGATGGTACTGCATTCCTGAGGTCTGTCTTTTTTTTTTTTTTTTCCCCCTAAGTAGAAGGGAAGAATACTAGTTTTGATTTTTGCTTTAAAAAAAATACTTTTTTGCTTAATGCATTTCTTATCTTTTCTCTTTTAGCTTCAGCAGTTGATACAGACGCTGCAGATACAGCAGCAGAAACCGCAGCCTTCACTACTGCAAGCTCTGGATGCTGGTCTTGTTGTTCAGTTGCAGGCCCTCACAGCACAACTTACAGCTGCAGCTGCTGCTGCTAACACACTTAATCCACTGGAACAAAGTGTCTCTTTTAATAAGGTAGAAGTAAAATAAGTTTGAAGAAATATCTGTTGTTAAAATATATGTAAGTCAAAGTCTTCTTTTGAATTTTACTGTTTGTCTTCAGAGATTTTAAAAATACATTATATATTGTGAAGTGCTCTATCTTGAAAATCAGAAAGTCTAGAGAGTGGTATAAATGAAAATACCAGTTTTATATGAGTTTAGGCATTTCATAGAATACTTTGAGTTGAAAGAGGCTATGGGTCCTCAGGGGTGAAGATGGATGTGATTTAACAAAGTTAAGCCATTGTTACATCTTTTTCTTCATCCTTTGTAATGTAACAGTGAGAACTGAGCATGTCTTATACTTCCCTTTCCTGTGTTTATGATCTGTGCGGTTTTCCCAATAGAGTAAAATGTAATTAGACTTGTAATTTTCATATATTATAAATGCCAAGAAAACTTGATCTTAGCCACAAAGTGATTGTAAGTGAAGAAATAAATATATGACTGTAGTTAAAACTAGTCATGTGACACTTTTTAGAGATGTCAAAATGTAAAAACAAAACCAACTCTGTAGGTAGAGAAACTTTGTATGCGTTGCAACAGATGTGCCTATCAAAAAAAGAAAGGAAAAAAAAAAGGCAACAACAAAATGCAGGAATTTAAGAAGATTAATGTAGCTGAATAACCATGCTAGAAAATACAGTAGTAATACTATACTACCATTAGAATAAAAAAGGAAGAACTTCTATTCAAAGATTAAAAAATAAGTAAATAAATCTTGTCCCATTATCTTTGGAAGAAACAGTTTGTGTGTAGATAATATCTGTAGGATCATCCTGGAATGAATAAATAATAAAAATAAGGAAGTCAGAGAAGCAAAACTCCCTTTTTTTTCCCTAACCCAGATAACCTCTTTTTCAGGCAGTTAGCTGCTCAGAACTTCACAAGTGCTGAGTTAAAAGTTTTAGCACAATTTATCTTTTATTTCTCTAATTTGTCCAGCTAAGCTCAAATCTGTGAAATAATAAAGAGTTGTCATCACTAATGAAAGTAATGCAGCTGTAAAAATAAGTAAGGAACAAAATGGCCTGTATTCATGCTGTATCACAGCTGTAACCATCAACTCGAGTAGAGTAAAATCACAGAAAATGAATGCATTACTTAATAGGGACTGCCTTAGTATTTAGATGCAAAAATTAATAATACGGCATTGTATTAGGGTTTGTTCTGCTGACTTCAATTCCAGCATTTACATGGATAGGCATGTTCATAGGTGTGGGTGTCTTGAATGTTGGACAACTTAACTGGAGAAAACAGAAGGAATTGGCATTCTGCTGAGTTGTTTATATACATTGTGTAAGTTCGGCTGGTGCTCTTCAGTTAGCTGATGCTAGTAATGGTATGTAGGAGTCTTGTTATTATGTGATTCTGATTTCTGGGACTTAGAAGGTAAGTGTTGTGGAACTAATTCTTCTGGCGGTGTGATAATTTACAATCAAACTTCCAGCAGGCATACGGTGTTGATTTGTTCTTGTAAGTTGTGGAAGACTTGTTTTCATAGTATGTGATCTGTGCCTCAGTTCTGCATTATACGAGTAGTGTCAGATTATAACACATCTCAAATTTGTGTTCAGTGTTATGTAGCATCCTTATGAATGAACTAATCCGTGTCTTGTTAGTCTATTGAGGCTTTTACTCAAAGATTATTTAGGCTGCGTGGGTTTTTTTTTTTTTAGTAGAACTTTGGTGTTACCATATCTATATTCTTCTTTTTCTGAGGTTTGAGGATATCTGAATCTAAGTCTAGGCATTATAGAAGAGTGTATATTAATATATATGTATTAATGATCAATCTTAATTTTGCAGTGAGGTTTGGGGATAATAATTTTCCCTGCTTTTTTAAATGGTTTTTATCAGCACCAATATCATCTGGCATATGAATCCTCGTTCTCAATATCTGAAGACCAGAAGTCATAATGATGTAATTGTTTATTCGACTATATCTGTTTTATTATATGCTACAATTTTATATCTATATTTTAGTAGACATGGCAGCCTTAATAAAAAAAGTGTTAAACAGGCAATATTTACTTTTATAGGAAGCACCTATAAGTGCAAGTGTTTTAGCTTGAATCGGGAGCATGCTTTTGAGGTGAAACTTTTGATTGTTTGTGTGTCCCCCACATCATTTCACATTGCAGAGCAACCTTGAATACGTAAAGTAGACGCATTTAGATTAAGCTAAAGCAAAAGATAGGCTACAACTGATGAGATGAACACTCAGTTAACAGAGCCAGACTGGAGCTGCTTCAGAGTAACTAGTGACAAAATCCAAATAGCATGCCCAAATAAAATAAAAACTGTAAACCAGATTTCTTTAAGAGGAAAGTTTTGGGAATGCTTTATATCCTGCTGACAAATTTAGGTCTTTCTTAGTGATCTTCCAGGATGCTCTGAAGTTCTAGAGTTTTTGTATGCATTTTAAAGAGCTTGCAATAGTTTTGTATTTAACACAAAATGCATGAATTGCAGTTGATGATACGGTTAGAGATGCAAGTGTCAAAACCCAGCGTTTCAGAACAGTGCAGTGAGCAGCAACGCTAGACTGTTTGTTTGAGTACCAGACATCCAGTTGCTTAATCTTTGGGGTTCTAGTCTTTATCAGAAAAGAAGTTAACAATTGAGCAGGATCCAGCAGGGTACCCTGGCAGCTAATACCATCCATGGCTGTGTGAACAGGAGTATAGTCAGGTGATTGATGGAAATGATCATCCCATTTAGACATCCAATCTACTCTAGAGATAGTATCACATCTGGTTTTGCTGCTTTGCCCCTGTACAAGAAAGACATTGACAAACTGGATGTTTCTGCTGTGTTTTCTCAGAGATATATTCAGCCCTGCTTTCATATATATATATATATATATATATATATATATATATATATATATATATATATATATATATATATATATCAGATTATTTCATTGGGAAAATGGTTCTAAAAGTTCTTGATTGTTCAGTCTTTTAGTTATCTAATGCTTTGTTCTTCTTGCTGGACTCCAGTAATTGAGATTAGAGTATTCTGAGAAAGAAAACAGGCAACTGAATCATCATGGCTTGTTACTGGAGATGTTTTTGTCTTGGTATTTTGAGATGACTTGCCCCACTTTCTCATCCTTTTGTTTTTAACTTCTAAGCCCAGAAGAAGTTATGGCTGATAGTAGTACAACATTAAGTCTGCTTTTCAGAAAACTTTCAAGGTGTAAAGATGCATGCTTATGGGTTTGATAGCACTGCACTGTCAATACATACTTACTGAAAAAAATCCCATCTCAGTGGCAGATAATATTTTTATATTTCTTCATGCTTCTTCAGTCTTATCTTCAAGAAAGTAAAATGCTACTGAAATGCTCCTGGGCTATTTAAAAACTAATAAACCAAAATTTTTTAGTTCAACAGACCCTGCAGTGTAGACATTTTTACAGATAAAATAGATTTATCGAAGTTTTTCTTTTTCCCTGTCAGATACCTTTCTTTTTATCCCTCTAGAGGCTTATTCCTCTTTCATGATAACTACTTGCTTTGATATTTTTGCAGACTATATGAGAATTTGTCAAGGAGCATTATATTTGAAGGAATTCAGGTTGTCTAAATGACACGTGTATGTGAAAATACAGTAATTCTTTGCGAAGTAATCAAGCTGTAGGTCTTCTTTTGATATGAACAGAGCAGTTTGCTGGTTGCCAAAGGATTGAATAGTTGGTCTCTTTGTAGTAATTTCTTCTAATTAAAGGTACCATTACATAAAATTATCTTTATTTAAGCCTTTCTCCAAACTAGCTGTTACTGTGGAAAGAACATGTGGTTGTGCTTGTAACAGTAGCCAGAGCACAAGAAAGCCATGGACAAAATTTGGTATTTGATTCATTCAAGAGTTTGCTAGCAGTAGCAGTATGACATTTGATTTTATTTAGGGTATTTGCCATCCTTCTTTATTTTTTTCAACTTGAGAAATAAGAGTATTTTTCTTTTGAAAAGTAAATATACATAAAGGGACATATAAAGAGTACTCAGTTATGCTTACTTTGCTTTCTCCTAGAAGCTGATGGACAGGTTTGACTTTGGGGAAGAATCTGAACAAAATGAAGAGCCTAAAAAAGAAGCTCCCACTTCACAACTGTAAGATCAAGCTATGTTTCTTACGGAAAATGCTAAAATCTGCCTGACATTAGTTGAACATTAGGATTAAATAATAAGGAAAATGTTGTCTCTTTTAAGAGCATAAGTATACTATACCATAAGGAAGAGAAAAGAGAGTTTCCTAAATTTATGAAACATACACATTTTAAAAATATTTAATACAAGTCTCTGTACCAGAACTTTTGTTGATTTCATCTTAGAAATTAGCATGTTCTTTACTTTGTTAATTAAATTCATAGTGTTAATGTGATGGTGATGGTACCAGAAGGTAGAACTAGTTACATTGTCTTCATTATTTTACATTTTCAGTTAAACTAAAACTCAGTTGTGAGGATCTGTTTACCAACTGTTTAAACCAAGAGAAAAACTTTTTTTTTTTTTTAATTTAAATTATTTCATTTTAGGCCTTTAGTACCAGAATCTGTGAATAGCTCCCTTTTTCACCAACTAGCTGAACAGCTACAGCAACAAAATCTAGAACACCTTAGACAACAGCTTCTGGAGCAACAGCAGCCTCAAAAGGTAAGAACTCCATCTTGTGGCCGTTGTTAATTATGATGTTCTCCACTGATAAAATTCATACTCCAGGACAAGAAAAAATTGTCTTGTTACTGACACTTCTCTTATAATAAAAATCTTTGTCGCTAGCTGATCATCCAACAGAAGCTGACAGAGTAAGTGGAATAAGCAGAAGAAAGCACTTAAAGTAAGGGGAAAAAAATGCAGCCAAATTTTTGGGGTGTACATTTTGCTTCTCTTGGGAAAGAGAAACTTTTAGCTGAGTTACAGACTGAGTGTGCTTTAGGTGTTCAGCTCTTTAAGAAGGCTTTTTCCCTGCTGTCAGAAGGAAAGTGGTGAGCACTGGAATGATTATGTCCCTGATGTGAATTGAGGGCAGCGTGCAAACTGCTGCTGCAGAACCATCGAGAGGACAGAACAGAGAATGAGGATAACTTCTGTTTCCTCTACCAAGCTTGAAGTCTTGACTAATGAATGTCTCATTCTGTTGAAGAATCTGAGCTAGATAGAGTCATGAATTTCCTTAGAAATTATCAATTAAGAACTGATGCTGTAGACAACCGAAGAGTCCTTCTTAACTGTGTGAATTGGGCCCTCTGTCTCCTTTGAAGTAAACTGGATTGTTTCTTCTGAGGTTTGTCCTTGGTATTTAGCTGCTTTTTTCCCTTCCTGATCCCAATGCCTGATCAATTAGAAAAAAGAAAAGACCCTGAAAGTTTATTCTGTCTTTCTTTGTATCCGCTGACCAGATACAAAGTGGACTTTCTGTGACGTTTTGGAACTAGTTTCACAGTAAAATAAAAATCTCAGAAAGAAAATCTAAGGGAGCAGAAACTGAACAAACATCTGGTGGGGGTTTTAGTTTAACCTGTGTGAAAGTGCAGTTGCTCAGCTTTCAATCAAGAACATCATTTGAGTTTTGAATTTGTGACTTTAAGTTTAGTAAAATAGTATAATTTTAACTAGATAGTATTTTCTTATTTTACTGCTTTGTTGTACTATGTTTTATTTTCATTTTTCATTTAAGCACAGTTGCTAAGGCAGATTGTACAACATAGCTACAGATTAAATGTCTTTTTTGTATGTTGGTAGATGTCTAACAGTTTCTGGGTTTTAAACACTAAAATGTTGTAAAGCAATATAACTGTGAAGGGTGCATCTGTTTTAGGAGCTTTTAATGTGATATACCTAAAAGTAGCGAATTTGAAAATAAAAATGCTGAATGCCTACTTTACTGTAAAATAAACAGAATTATAGTTTACATTACTTGCATTTACATTACATTATCTATGCAATTACGTTACAGTGCATTTATGGGTATAGTGTTTGTATGACTCACCTCTTAATATTTGATCTTCTATTACAAGTCCAGAGTCTGTTTCCATTCAGATCAACTCAGTTTCTCGAGTTTCTTGTATAGTCGGTACAGAGACAAAGTTTATTTTCACCTTGAAAGCAGCCTAAAGGTACAAACTTCTGCTGTAATGACAGCAGTGTGTTATGAGGAAAATTTTCTTGAATTTCATGTTTAAGCATCAGTGAGAAAGATTAAGGGAAAAAGAAGGAAAGATAAAACACAAACCAAATTTATTACACATCTGATTAGAAGCAGAGGGAGAGGAGGAGAGGATAGAGGACAGAGACAGAAGGAGCAACAAGAAATGTAGGAGTTGAGATCGAGAAACAGATTGTTGAAGAATAATTAAATATAAGGAAAATGAGACAATGTTAGAAGCAAACGCATTAACTAAATTATAGCAGAATTTTGTATTTTTCTGCAGACTGTTATTATAAGCTGTTCAAAAATATGAAGGTAAAGCAAACAAACCTTGGTGCTACATGTCATTCTGCTAAATTTCTACCATTTTTCTGGCAGATAGAATACCCAGCATTTGTTTAATTGAAATGAAAATGTACTGTGAATCACTGAAATGGTGACCTGCAATATTATAGGATTATAAGTCTAGTATTACTTTTCAAACTTGTTCTAATAGCATTTGTATGTATTTTCACGACATTATCTGCATTTCTTGAATATCTTTCATACCTACAGATATTTATGCCAAATCTGTGCTTTCAGTCCAGTGTATAGGCCCTTACAGCTTTTCCTCTAGCAAATCAGCAGCACATTTAGTATTTTACATTTTTAAATTTTGGTGGTTTTGAAAGACTGCTTGTTTTGTTAGGTCTCCTGTTGTGTCATTTATGCCAACACGTCAATTACAACTTCCTTTATCTTGTAGTAATTAGTTGTCTGAAATCACACATTGTAGGAACCTTTGTAGTTTTTAACTAGTTAAATTGGTATTGCAAATAAAAGAAACTTGCTAAATAGTTTTTCAGAAATATTTGAACAATTGGTTCATATAGTGTTCCATTTTGACACAGTAAGCATTTTGAATTATGAGGCTTTTTATGGTGTATTATTATTTGTTATTTAGGCAAGCCCTGAGCAGAATCAAGAAGGAAATTTTGGTTCAGAGCACTCTGCATCACCATCACAAGGGAGTAGTCAGCAGCAGTTTTTAGAAGTGGAAACAAATGTAGATGATTCAATGGATATTCAACAACAGGTAAAACTATTATAAATTTGATTACAGAAGTTGGAAGGAAAATACATACTAAGATGATTTCAAAATGTATGCTTTCATATAGTCATATATACTGTGAGTATATTTTTAAATGTTATTGAACAACTGTTATGTTTGATCTCAGGACATGGATATAGATGAAGGACAGGATGTTGCTGAAGAAGAGATTTTTGAACAAGAAGAAAAGAAATCAGCTGTTCGTTCAAGATCAAGAACTCGCTCAAGATCTCGTTCAAGGTTTCATGATTAACTTGTATTACATAAATGAAGTTTTTTTTGAATCAAAGTTGCAAGTTGTGTTTATCAGTCTTAATTCTGTATTTTCCAAAATTGCAATAAGCAGTTTTTGGAAATTAAAAATATGTGTTCATTTAATATTTGTGTGTTAGATGCAGACTTTCTGTATGAGTTCATTTTTCATATCTATGTTTTATTTTAAACTTTTTAAGACTTATCCAGGTGACAAAAATAACTTACACTAGCCAGCTGGACAGGTTTTCTATACCAGAGAAATACTGTTAACGGAACATTTTCTAGTTCTCACACTAATGACATTAAGCTTATTTCCTGAAGCGGTTTTGCTGAACATAACAGAAATGTCTATAACATGCTTAAAGTTTATAGTTAGAAGACAACTAATTTTTTTTTTTTTAAATTTTTTTTTTTTTTAACTTAGCATACTGAAATTAAGTGTTTTGTAGGTCACCAAGAAAACGAAGGTCAAGATCACGGTCTGGTTCTCGTAAGCGTAAACACAGAAAACGTTCACGCTCAAGATCAAGAGAAAGGAAGAGAAAGTCATCTCGGTCATATTCCAGTGAGAGAAGGGCTAGGGAAAGGGAAAAAGAACGTCAGAAAAAGGGTTTGCCTCCTATACGGTCAAAAACACTAAGTGGTAAGTAGCAGCTGCTTACTCTTTTAATAATGTAGTATTAAAGGGAGCAAAGGCTTTTTTTTTTCACTGAAAAAATAAAATTTAGCTTGAGTACTCTTAAAAAATATAGTAACCATATTCTCATCGTATAAGTTTCACTTCTGATGTTTCGCACAATTTACGGTCATTTCATCTTAGAGGAAAGGAAGTGTAGTGTTCTACCGATGATTTTACGCATAGTGTTGCACCAGTGATTTTAATTCTGAACAGAGAGTAGCAAGGGTTGTCCCTAAGTTACAGTCTGCTTTCTCTTTAATGCCTTCTTCTGTGAGGCATTTGAAGATGATTGCGCTTGGTCTGAAAGTTGGTATGCTGATATCACTGTATCATTTATCTATAAGATAAGAAGTTCAAAATTCATTATTACAAAGGAAAGACTGTTCTGTTCTCTTCACATTGATACTTTACATCATTCCAGGGTAGCTTTAAATTCAGACCTGTATTATAGTTTAGATGAGTGGCTTTGTTTTTTTTTTTTTTCCTTCTGACTGTTCACATGAAAAGAGACAAATCAGTTTTATAATGTAGACTTCTCCCAGCAGCCCACAAAGCAGGGGACTATGATCAGAGTGGATGGGAGCTGGGAGGCAGGGATGTTAAGTGACCTGATGACAAGCAGCAGCGATTGAGGTCCCATGAAGCGACCTGGCTCGTGGAAAGGAGATATTAAGAAGGCTGAAGCATGGAAACTTTGGGGGAGGGGGGGCTGGGGGTAAATAAATAAATGAATAGGTAATTAACATGACAAGTGTTCTGCTTCATAAAATTTGTTCATTGACAGCCACTTGATGAGGTCTGAAGAATTATTTCATAGAGTTTAACACCCTGAGAAACAACAGGGCCATCTACAAGCATGGTTGTCCAAGAGAAATCTTACGGCTAGTCTTTCGCAGTACTGCTGAGTACTGCTGTCTATTGAAAGTGTTAGCTGATGGAGGAATGCACAAGACTTGTTTCCAGTTGAGTGCAGCAAGATTGGTACAGGAAGGACGTGTGACGTATCAAGATGATGAAGAAGACAGAATATTTTCTTGGTTTAAGATAAGGTAGCCTAAGAGATCCAGGTTCTCTGGTTTTGTTCTGCCTTCAGTTCTTGAAGATCCTGGGTGGATTAATCAGCTGAATTACCAGTTACCAGAGTAATTGGTGGTTGAGGAAAACCACCAATATTAGCCTAATCAGATAACTCTTTTAAGTGGAGTTAAGTTCTCCGAATGTTTCAAGGCTTGCACAAATAGGTTGGGAAATATTTTGGAGACAAAATGATTGGAAACATATACGATGCAGGAGAATGAAGGTTTAGCTCACGTCTGTGAGTATTTATATTTGACAAGGAGGACAAAGGGTAGGCGTTTGGGAGACAGATTACAGGGATCTGGGCTAGTGGTGGAATTGACAAGAGTCGGAAGCATCAAGGACATCTTCAGCTCAGTGGTGGGCCTCAGCCAAGTTTGTGTTTCTGGGATGTTCCCACAGGTAAAGTAAAAATATAGTTTCTGTATCTTTCATGTGAAAATGCAGTGAGTCATACTGCAATTAAGTTTCTTCCATAATACACTTCTAGCTAGTTAGAACTTAGTTGTCCTTCTTTAGAACTGTCTTTATATCCTAGAGGCATGTTTTTTATGGAACATGGAATTTTTTTTTCCTAAGTGATTTCTATTGCAGTTTAATAATCTACATATTTTTTCCTAATTTCTTTCAAAACAACTATTTTCTTTGAAAGAAAATGAAACAAGAAGAGTGAACACTTGTACTGAATATTTATTTGGTGTCTTTTAACCCTTTAACATTTTTGTTAATGTACTTAAACTCTGTATAGTAAACAGTAGATTTACTGTTCTTACCTTTTGATCAGTGATTTCTATGTAATTGTAAAGCCCTTTATATCCATGCTATAGAGTGTTTTATAAGCTAACATTCTAATAGTTGTATTGACAGTAATGTGTCTCTTGACAGTTTGCAGTACCACTCTTTGGGTAGGTCAAGTAGACAAGAAGGCTACACAGCAAGATTTAACTAACTTATTTGAAGAATTTGGACAAATAGAGTCAATTAATGTAAGTAAGCATGTTATCATGCATTTTCAGGAATTACGGACTTGTAACTTAAATATGTTTATGCCTCTGAATTCCCTTTAGCAGCTTAAGCTTGTATTTAGGAGATTTTTTTTAATGGCTTTAGAAACTGTGGCTATGATATTTGATTATTGGTTTCCATGTACTGCCTTTTGAAGCATGAAAGTACGCTTTCTGGTAAAATGTCTTTTCCCAAGGACTAACGGTTTACACAGGGGGTAAACCAGCATCCAAACAACTAAAAAGTTACGTCTTTTATCTTTTTTGTGATACGGCACACGTCAGGTATCATTTTTCCTTGGACTAATGGGCACAGGCTGGTGTGTATCCCCATTATTCTTGGTTACGTTTAATACAGAGGCTCCCTAAAGTAGAATTAATTTAGACGAACATTTAGAAGGAAATAAATGGTACTGTAAACAAGTGTTTATTCTAAAATGTGACAGTTAAACTGTTTCTTATAATTAGGAGCTATATTTCTCATGATTCAAAGTAATTTAGATTTAGCTGTTCAGAGTTGTATTTTAGTATTGCCTACAATTCAGCTTCAAGAGAAAGTATTTTTCTCCTAATGTAACACATCCGCATGAGAGACATTTGGATTTTTCTCTCTTGCACCAGCAGTTTTAAAGTTCTTCTCATACAATTTCATTCATGTCAGATAATATTTCTAGTATTTTTCCTATTATGTTAATATATTCAACTATATAGTTAATAAGGAATAGTTTTATGGCATTACAGAATCTTTTAAAAAGCTTCACAAGCCTGACATTTAAACACCATTTTGATTTTCAGGAACTAGCAATTAAGAAATTTAAAAGGAAGGTAATGTTGTAACAATCATGATGTCCTAATGCCTGTTAGATTTCAGAGGCAAACCGTACTGTAAATAGGTCATCCTACGTGTTCCACAAAGCTTTAAGTACTTGGGATGATGTTGTAAATCTTAAAACATATTTTCATAAGAACTGTATTAAAGGTTGTCATTTTAAATATTTTTGTTCATTACATTACTGTGTGCTCCTAAGCAAAATAAAAACACACCTATATTATTGACTAAAATAAGTAGTTGTCATACATGATTTGCAAACTTTCAGTGATTATGCGCTGCATCATACTTTTCTTTCCTAAATAAAACATTAAAATTAGTGGAAATCACGCTTCAGGAAGGAGGACTTGCACTTTTGAAAGTTAAAGATAGTTTTAATCACTAGCTTGCGCCTCTGTTGAAGGTTGTCATTCAGCTCACAGTGGATATGGAGCTTAAGAGGTATCAACCTCTGATTTTCTGAAGTTGTCATAGTAGAACTCCCAGGTTTTGCCTCCTCCATGTTATTCAGATCTTTCACGTAATTTTTAGCACCCATTCTTCAGCTTGCTGCTGATGCTTGACAATGTTGTAACTGAAGTTCTCTGCCAATATCATTCTTTATTTTTGCTGCTCAAAATGGTTAATATTGCTGATTAAGCTAACAATTGTTTTCAATGTAAGCCTCCCCTTTGTTAGTATTAGGATACAGTTAGTGTAGTTACATAATCTGCAGTGCTGGTTCTCCTACTTTTTAAGACTATTGCTTTTTTCCATAGATGATTCCCCCAAGAGGGTGTGCTTATGTCTGTATGGTTCATAGACAAGATGCGTATCGTGCTCTTCAGAAACTTAGTTCTGGGTCCTATAAAATTGGATCTAAAATTATTAAGGTAAGTTGATTTTAATCTAAGAATGCTATCCCTTTCGAGTTCAGTTTTAATATGATGATTTGTCATGTGGCAGTGGTTCATTCAAATCTGCAATATGAAGAAGAAGAATGAAACAATAAGGGGTAAATGTGTAAATTGTTTTTTTCCTCTCTGTGTAAAATGCAGCTTCTAAGAGATGATTTGAAAGTAAAGTGAAATGATTACTTAGGAAGTGCTTGGTTAGTGTTTTGTGTATGTGCTAGCGATAAAGAGTACAGGACTGTAAACAGCCTAAGTCCTTTACCTGATTTTTGTGGATCACTTAATATTGCATTTGATAGTATTCTTAGAGTTAAGTATATGATTAAATGTTGTGGGTTTTTTCTGTGTTCTTTGATATATTAGGATGATTCCTTGAAATACTGTATTTTTAATTTCCCCAAATATATGTCAGAATTAATGTAGAACAAATTTGAGCTGTTAGATGTAATTAATCTTCCACATAACTGTTGCAGAGGCCAAGAAGTCTTCCTACAGGTTCATTTAAAATTAAAACCTTATTAAAACTTTAATAAATAGACACGGAAGGTTGACCTGCAGTGACAGAAACATGAAGGAAATTATCTGAAATATTTTGTTCATGGGTTATATGATTTAACGGGATTATCTGGTTGGGTTTTATTTTCAGATTGCCTGGGCTTTGAATAAAGGTGTGAAAACAGAATACAAGCAATTCTGGGATGTGGATCTAGGAGTTTCATATATTCCTTGGGAGAAAGTAAAATTAGATGATTTGGAGGGCTTTGCTGAAGGTGGCATGATTGATCAGGAAACAGTAAATACAGGTATGGACACTACTAATGATTGTTATAATTAGAAAATGTCTTTATTTTGGTAATTGTAAGTCCTCACAAAGTTTGTTCTTTAGATATTACATACTCTTTTTCAATGTACATAAATTTTACTTGCTACAGATAAATGGCACTAATTATGAAGCGTAGATGGTGTTTGTAGGTGTGTACCTAGTTGATTGTCAAGACATTGAAGAATTAGTGACGAAAGCAAATTAATTTAGGCAAGTTAATAAAGGTTAGCATTTTTTAAAAGTTACGAATTTTCTGTGCACTAGTTTCCAAATTAATTTATGCGAATTATAATCTGCTTGTGATTGTGAAACGTTTTATGTTTAGGTATAAGGTTTAAGATTGAGTTGGAACACATCCAAATTGGCATAGCTTAGCTGAACCTTGAGGTATTTCCTCCATGAAATCAAAGAGACAGGAAAGCAAGTGATGATAGAACTTAGTCTAAAACCCAGTTAATTGAGAGGCTTGTGAGGTTTGTAAAAGATTCACAAGTACTGTGTTTTCTTGAAGCAGATCTAGTACCACATGACTGGACTCTACTGAAGTAAACAGTAGATCAAAACTGTTTATAACAGTGACAGTAATTTTTCAAATCATAATGCAGTCTTGCTTCGAGTAAAAATTGAATATAACGGAAAAAGTAAAACATAGAACATTACTGAAATGCATTCACTATGTTGTACTTGACATACAAAACTTTCTGAGGAAGTTACAGAAAGAAGAAATGGGGGTTGGGGTGAGGTTTGCTCAACATGAGGATGTTCTGTCGTTGTACAGTAGCCAGCTGATAACACAGATGTGTTGACAACAGCAGTTTGTAAAAAACTGGAGCATACCCTACGTTAAAAATTATTAACAGAATGATTGGTGAAAAAAACTTGGTAATTTTTGAAAAATCGGTTTGTATACAGGCAGAATTGAATGGTGTCACAGGTGATTAACGATATTTTACATTTTTTAAAATATATAGTAATAAATAATTACACTTCCTTCTTTCCACAGCTTGGTGGTTATTTTCCATGTATCTGTACAAATACCAGATAAAAGTTTCTTTAGAAGGAAGGGGACTTTTTAGTATTTAAATACAAATGCCACAAAAATTTTTATATTTGAAATACACCCTTTTTTTTTTTTCAGAATGGGAAACAGCCAGAAGCTCAGAAGCTGCTAAAGAAAATACTCAAACTACACAGAGTGCTGCAGTTGATAAGAATACAGTTATTACAACACAGACAGAAGCTTACACGCAACCAGTCACTATGCTGCAGGTTTGTATTGGTCTGAGTATGCAAAAAATCCACAGAACTGAAGGGCAAACTTTTTATTCCATATATCTAAACTTTAATGCTGAGTTAAAGTACTTCAGTCAAATATACCTAGGTCTTGTGTCCATATGTGTTTATCCATGAAATATTTTAAGAGTAGAATCAGTTGTCGTGGTTCAGCAAACTCCCTAGTTTCATGCACAACATATCCCAAACATGTACAATCTCAAATGAAGGTTTAAATGTTCAAGACAGATCAATTGGAAAAAAAAACAAACCAAACCACACAAAAATCCCCAAGAACAACAAAAAAACCCACAACCATAAAAAAAAAACCAAAACATCAAAAAAACCCCAAAACAGCCTCCCCCCAGACAAGCCCCAAAGCAAATACTGCCATGTCATTTTTTTAAGGACAAATTAAAATGAGCTTACGGAAAGTATTTTCCTTAAAGCAAAGCATCTTTCTGCAACCTAAGCAATGAAATTTTTTTTTTCGCTTGTGCTTGTTTCTTTTCTACCTATGTGCTTTTCGCCATATCAGCTTTGACTATAAGTGTAATTATCTTTTTCAGTAATTTTGGACAGGATTTCATAAGGGCAGTCTCATCTGTAAAAGATCCGATTATTCAGGTAGTGTGCTGTTGCACTCCTTAGGCGGTAATTCATGAGTTTTTGATTCTCTGTTGTATTTGTTTTGCTTCTGGTAAACCAGAGAATTATTAGCATCCATTTGGTAACAAAGTTTTGTGGAAGGATGGAATAATACAGTTTTAATTTGTATGAGTATACAAAAGTACAGATACTGATCAAGTATAAGTACAGATAATTTCTGTAAAACTCTTTAAATCGTTTTTAGAATGACCATATGAAAATCTCATTTTCAGTGACAGTGAAAATTAGGAGTTGCTTAATGCAAAATTTTTTGTATTTGTATTATTACTCTTACCTTTCCTAATATGTATAGACATTTCCAGTACTTGAGCTGATGTAGTTACTGTGAAAGTTAACGTATTTGCATTTACTTGCATTGAATTTTGAACTTTTTTCTTGTCACAAAAAATTGTCTTCAGTCTTATTTCAACTGCTTCCTAGTGTACGCTGTGATCAGTATATATTTAAATATATGTGTATTGGTTTTATTCTGCTCCTAATTACTTTTAATTATGCTGCACTGTATCAAAACACATACCTCAAACAGAAGTTTGAGAAATATTAAATACTTTTAAGGATTTCACCAGGATTAATAGCATTATAATTACATACACTAAACTCAACTTTCCAGTACTGTTCTAAAATATTTCTAGTGAGAATGAAATTACTGTTTTCTAAGTGCTCTCAAATTGCCAAACTACCTAATTTTCCTTCCTTTTCACTCTCCTCCCTTTTGTATTCACCTCTCTCCCACAGGTACATTTTTATTCATGAATAAATATAGTGTTTATCCACGTATTTTTCTGTTCTTTTTAGAATAAAGCAAAGGTAAGTGTAGAATTCTTCCAGTGTCCTTGTTTAACCTTAGTGTAGGTATCATTTCAAAATGCAGTCTAATTCTTCAGGGTGTTCAGAATATATACAGAGCCTTTGGTACATGCAGAGTTTAACATGAATAGCAATTAAATCAGTTTTCCTCTTTACAGTAAGTATTGAAATTGCTTGTTTTGTTTTTTTTTTTCCATGAAAAAAGATTCCAGTAGCTCCAGCTGTGCCTGCTGTTAGCTTGGTTCCACCTGCTTTTCCTGTCACAATGTCTGTCCCTCCTCCTGGTTATAGCGCAATTCCTCCTCCACCCTTCTTGCGTGCAAGTTTCAACCCTTCACAGCCACCTCCAGGTAAGTTAGTAAAAGTGAAGTTGAGTATGTAATGAGTATACTTAGTTTGTGTGCTTCCATATATATCATGCTTTGTATGGTTTCCTGTCAGCTACTGGTTACTCTTTAAGCCAGTTGACCTTTGAATCTCAGATTTCCCACTAAATTAAAATTATTTATGTCTAACTTGGTATTATTTTTACTTTAGTAATTATTCTGTTGAGAATAGGAATTACACCATTTTTTCTTTTTTATAACTTTGATCAAAATGAAAATTTAAAAACCTTCAAGATCAATCTTTCTTTTGAAAATTTTGACACTCACACATTTTCTTCTTTGGACACTGCTGGCAGAAATAACTTCTAAAGATGCACATGCAAATCATCTTTAGTGAAGATTGGGTTGCTTTTGAAAGCAAGAGTTGTACATTTCTTCCCGTACATTTGTTATTTACTATTCTTCAGTGATGCAGCTTTCCGGGGTGAATAATATAGGCAAGCTTTTACTGCAAAACTTTTTTTTGCCTTCCTTGTAATAGTTTGTCATTTTTTTCCATTTAGGTTATATGCCTCCCCCAGTTCCACCTGTGGTTCCACCGCCTGTTGTCCCACCACCTGTTGTTCCACCAGTTGTTCCAACACGTAAGTTTGAGTCTTCTAATAATTGTTTATGTGCTATAAAAAGCTCATTTTTTTTAATATCCTGCTTGTTATTTAATCAAAAGCAAGATAATCCTGTGTAATAGAAAATAGCAACACAAAACTTAGTGTTTAGCTGGTATAAGCAGGTATTGGGAAAAAGATTTACAGAGCTTTTCAAGTTGATGGCAAAATGATACTTACCCTGGAGTTCAAGTGGAGAAAGACAAGTTATATTTGAACCTGTCTGTAAAAGATGTAACTGTTATTGATCTGTTTGATGTTAGTCACTGAATAATTTATAATAATAATTTATTTTTTTAGCCTTTTAACTAAATGTATTCATTTAACATTTAAAACTATCTGTAATATTACTTAGGTCGCCTGCAGTTCATGGTCTCTACAAAAAAAATATTAAATATTAAAATGCTGATTGAGGATAAGAAATTATTATCAAAAAATGTTACTTAGGGTTATTAATTTGACTTATTTTGATGTATCAGCCTGACCTTTGTCAAGCTAATCTGAAGGCTTGAGTGTATGATTACTGTGATACACTTGTGTTATTTTTCTGCAGCTTTGGTACAGCCTCCGTTACCAATTGCACAAGAGACGATGAAGGATGTTCCTTTTACTAGCCTTGTTCTACCAGTTGGCACAGTTACTAGCAATCTAGCTACTCCAACGTTATCTGCTGGAAATGTTTTTAATCCTCTGCCAATCAACAAACCAGAATCAGATGAAAAGGGATCACATCTTGCAGACCTTCAGATTTCTTCCAGTGAAAACAATAGATCTGGTAAGAAATGTCTTCTATTGTCTGATATGATCACATATAGGAAACATGCTTCTGAGGTGTTTCTTTGCAAATTGTAGTCCGTTGCACTAATAACTATAGAGTAGGAAGTTTTAGGCTGGGTATGATTTTCAGTTTAAGTTGGAGGAGTGGTGGGAACTGTCTTTGTCATCATCTGATCATTGATTTCTAGCAGCTTATACTCAGAGTTGTTCTCTTTGTACACTCAAGAAGTAAAGCTGAGTCTGAGAGCCCTTTAGAAAACTTCTTAAAAGTGCATTCTTACTATGCAAGTGGCAATTGAAAGGAGCAGGAGAGGGTAGGATAGTATGGCATTTAGAGCTTTATACCAAAGATTTTAATACTTGCATTGCATAAATTGGGTGATGGCTGTGGGGTTTGTGGATATTAAGCTGCTCTACATTCTTTAATATGTAGAGACTTAATTTCTGTATCATAATGTCCATTTTTCACCAATGTGATTAAAGGCACATATGTTCACTATAGAAACTGGGATAGACCTTGTCAGCAGTATCCTCAATGAATGCATTAACTGAATATGGATCAAGCTGTGTTTTGTTTGGAATTCTATGTGTTACACTGGCATTTTTTTAACTCTTCTTCTTGTTGCTGCATTTTAGTGCAAAATGATGTTTCGAGTAGCTCCGGACTTGTTGGAGGAGTGCAGCCATGTAGTGTCTCAAGCAGTTCTGGCCTTACTGGAGAAGGGCAACCACCCAGCGTCTCAAGTAGCTCTGGACTTGCAGGAGGAGTACAGCCACCCAGTGTTTCAAGCAGCTCTGGACTTGTAGGAGGAGTGCAACCATCACCTGTTTCAAGCAGTTCTGGTCTTGCAGGAGGAGTGCAGCTGCCAGCTGTCTCCAGTAGCTCTTCTCTTGCCGGCGGAGTTCAGCCAACCAGCGTCTCAAGTAGCTCTGGACTTATGGCTGGAGTGCAACCACCAAATGTCTCAAGTAGCTCAGGGCTTATAGCAGGAGTGCATCCACCCACTGTCTCAAGCAGCCCTGGCCTTTTGACAGGAATGCAGCCACCCAGTGTCTCAAGCAGCTCAGGAGTTCTGGCAGGAGTACAGCCACCTAGTGTCTCTAGCAACTCTGGGCTTCTCATAATGCCACCGCCCAATGTTTCAAGTAGTTCTGGACCGATGGGTGTGCCACCACCAAATATTTCAAATAGTTCTGGACTTCTGGCAATGCAACATCCAGCTGGGGTTCCAAATATGCCTCATTTAAATATTAGTAGTCAAAGGATGCCAGGAATACCTCTTATAGATATCCGTCCAGGCCTAATGCCTCATTCAGCTGGACCAAGGTTTCCATTAATGCAGCCAGGAATGCCACCACAGCGTAGTATTCCTCCTCCAGCAATTCTTGATCCATCTCTTCACCCGCCACCTCGAGGTCCTTTTCCTCCAGGAGATATTTTTACTCAAACAGAAAGACCTTTTGGAACACCAGGAAGACAAAATATCGACAACATTTCTAATCCAGAGAAAAGACTACCACTTGGAGGTGATAACATTCAGCAGGAAGGAGACAGAGATTATCGCTTTCCTCCAGTGGAAAACAGAGATAATCTTAACAGGCCTTCTCCAGTGGATGTCAGAGATTCTGTTGGGCGACCACCAGTTGATCCAAGAGAGAGTGTAGGAAGGCCTCCACTAGATGGAAGAGAACACTTTGCAAGACCACATGTAGACATGAGAGAAAATTTTGGAAGGCCAGGTATTGATAACCTTGGTCGAAGAGAGCATTTTGGTTTCAATTCAGACAAGCACTGGGGACAGAGAGGAGATTATGATGAAAGAGAGCACCACGCCTTCCCTATTTATGGTGGCCCTAAAGGCTTCCATGAAGACAGAGAGAGGTTTCGGCATGTAAACTATAGATTTGATAGTAGAAGTGGTCCCAATTGGAATAGAGGATTTGAACAGGATGCTCACAGAGATTTTGATGACCGCAGAAGACCCTGGGAAAGACAGAGGGATAGGGATGACAGAGATTTTAATTTTTGCAGAGAAGTTAATGGGAACAGGTTTGGAAGAGACAGAATGTCAAACAACTGGATCCCCCCTCCACATCCACGGGTTTTTGAATATTTTGATGGGGCCACTTCCCAGCGCAAAGTTGAAAATCTGCCCCAGGTAAATGGTGAAAATACAGAGACAGAAAGTCAGCCACCAAATGCACAGGTGCAGGATGATCCTGAACTTTATGAAAAACTGACATCTTCCGTCGAGATAAACAAAGAGAAGAGTGACACAGAAGCTGATACAGAGAGTGAACCAGTGGTAGAAAGCACAGAAACTGAGGGGACATAATCATCACTCAGTAGGTAAAAGATACCTTTTGTAAAGTTGTCATCTCTCTGTAATAGATAAATGGCTGACTGGACCGTAGCAGTTCACTTTTGTCTGCCAGACTTAAGTTAATCTGATGTTCATGTTCATCTTTCACTTAAATAACTGTACAACTGACTTGTATAGAACACTGTTCTTAATTTGAACATAGTAGGTAAACTTTTTTTTTTTTAATTATTTCTCTGGTAAAGCATAAACTTGCCCCCACTTGCTTTTAATTTCACAAAGATAAAATAACAGCTTGTCAAACAAAGACTTCCTATGGAAGAAAATGGAATTTTTTAGATACTACCCTTAGGTTGGCTATTGAAATTGTTATACTTGAAAACAGGTGCTGGTGTGTCTTGTCCGTGTTTTTAGGCTGCTGCAGAATTTTAAAGTATAGACAAAGCTGGGATATTTTATGTTCCTACAATTCGGCAGAAAAAGGAATGGCCCATGTTATTAAAGGAGCATAATACAGAGATTAAAAGTGATTTTGTAAAATCGACACTATAGTCTCTGTTTTCTCTAAAGTAAGTGTTTGTGATTTGTTCCTCGTACTGCAGTGGGTTTAAAAAAAAAAATATGAAAAAGTACATTTTAATGTTGGGTGCATTTTGTTTTTAGATGCCAATAAAGCATATTTGTTTGATAACAGTGTTCTAGGTATTGTATTTTTTTAAAAAACTGCAAGCTCTAAAAACTTGGAATCAGCTATGATATGTTCTTAGTTGTTGCAAAAGGTTTATATTACTTCTGTAAGACCAATGCAACAGTTATATGTTCAAGAAGCCTATGGTTTTTACATTGAAAATCATGCAGTGATATTAGTTTATGTAAATAATATGTATGTAAATATTTGTGTAAACTGTTTGTAGATACCACTTTTTCTGTGTGTGCCTGTGTATGTGCATGCACTCACAGAATATTGTAGACAGTTCAATAAAACTGAAATCAAACTAGGGTATAAAAATTTGCCTTTCACCTTCTATAGGTAGTGAGATAACAAAACTTCCTTCACTACAGTACTCTCAAGCTTATATTTACTTTCTCATGCTCATTGTTACAGTGTTCTTATTACTTCTAGAAGGTGGAACATGATATACTGTAAGAGTATACAGTAGGATTTTAGCTTACTTTTTAAAATGCAGATATGCATGAAGCCAAAACTAAAGCAAATATTGCATTGTCTTATTTTGTAACAAATTTGGTATTCTGGATAGCTAGTGGTAGCATTCAAGTACTTTGTGGTTATTTCTTTTTAGTGACTCAAACTCCAGAAATGTTGCACGAAAAGTAAAAAGCTGTTGTTGGTCTTAAAAAAAACCTACATTTTTTTTTTTAACAGAAATAAGGGGGGGCTTTGTCTTTTGATGGTTTAATCTTGAAGTAGAACCTCTTACTAAATCTTTGAGATGAATTGGCTGCTTAGGAAATTAGTAGTTCTGTTCTCTCCTGTTTCACCTACTTTGCTGCTTGTGTATTCTCTAAATTGGTGGTGAAAGATGTTGTCTATAGGGTGATGTCAGATTTTGAGTTTGTTCCACTCAAGTGCGTTTCACCAACTTAGTTCAACATAGCATTTGTTAAAATACGTGTCTGAAAGCATCTTTTCACTCAGTTTTGAGAAGGTTGTTTTTTCTCTTGCATAATAAGATCCAAGGGTAGATTCTGTTACATTAATGCCCCTTTGGTAGAAGAAACAGTTTTATCTCAGATTAGAATTTTGATCTTTAACATTAAAGCATTAACATGCAAGTTTTAATTCCCCTTCTGCTTCCCCCAAAGGGATGAAAGTATGAGAATGTCACGTGTCATAAGCATGCCTTTGAACATAGAAGCAAGTTACGCATGCCTGTGTTGTCCTCTTCCTCTGGGAGGTAGGGTGTTTTTTCATGCTGTGTCATGATTCATTTTTTCAATTACAGGGACTTTTTATTCTGGATAGTAAACAAACTGTCAGCTTAATGAAGGGAGCCTTCTGAAAGCGTGGACTTTAGTGAATGATTCTTTATCTACTGCACAAGTAGCGGTCATTAGGATGTAGCAAGCATTAAATAACTATTGCTTTTTAATAGACCTTGCTGATGTGTTTATTACCAGAACGTGTCTCAGGAGCTGAGATGAACACTGTTTAAGGTAAAAGTACCTTCATGGGCAGACACTGATTCAAAGAACTTGGCTGATGCTGCTGCACCACTTACTGGTAGTATTGTGGTCAGGCAAAGATGGTTGTGTGAAAGTCCAAACGCACAAAATAGCCGTGAGGATATTCTATGAACTTAAGGGATTTTATTTTAATATGTGCAGTTTCAAAGTGCTCAAGTCATAGACCACATAAATACCCAGAATCAAACACATATTGGCAGTAGCTTTTACTTTTCAAACATTTTGTTAATTGCCGCTTTAAAACTGAAAGTTAATCTGTTTTTCTTCTTCTAAACTGGGACTGGCAGCATGCTAAATTGCTCATAGTATGAAGCTTTAGGTAAATTACCAGGTGAGAGATGTTAAACAATTTGGTTGGTAGTGGTATAAAGCAATGTATGATTTACTGATTTTTTTCATCTTTGTTAATATCTTTTAAGCATTAATAAATTGGCTACTGTACATATGTGTTACACCATCAATTTCTAACAAGTATTTTATTTTTGTAGAATAAAAATTTGTTGTACAGTCTTCAGTTTCATTGTGTTTACAGCTAGAACTTTTCCATTTCTTATTTTATTAATATAGTGTTCAGATATGACCAGAATAGCCATATTCAGAAATTTGGAAGGGACTTAGTTTTGTAGGTTAAGCAACCGTAAACAGCACATGCAGTGAAACAAGCTGTCCCGTGACCCAGATCAGTTCTTTGATGTGGTTCACTGTAGTGTCATGGAATTTTTGCTGTTGCAAAGGAAAGAGTGAGATTGGGACTGAAAGAAGTTGGGGGCCAGAGATTTGGGCAGCAGTTCTGGCTTATGCCTGTTAAAGCTTGCTCTAGTGATGAAAGGTGTCAATTCTAGTCACAGAAGAAAGCTGATCTACTATTTGCATAACACACATACTGACAAATTTTTCAGGTAGCTTTGCAGGCAATACAATACATTTAGGCATATGAATTTACTTGAAAAACTTATGCATTAGTAACTTGTTTGATGTATTTATTACCTTTTCAAACAGCCTGTGATTCTGACCTTACACCATACTGTATTTGAGCAGAATGCTACATCCCTAAAGATTACAAAGACAAAACATAGTCTCCATTTCCTCTAAGGACATGATTTCTTTGCTGAAGCCTTTTTCTGTGAAATATTGGTACACTTTCATTTTTATTTGTAGTGCTTCATGTTGTTATTACAAACTCAAGGGAGTAGATTCTGATTGATTCCTTTGCTTAAGTAGAGTACTATACCATTCTTCAAGCCATTTTAGTGATTTAAATGACTGTTTCTGAAGTTAAGGTACTCTTAGCCTGAATAAGGCAAGACGGGAACGCCATAATGAAGCCAGTAGTGTGGCATGCATAGGGATTACTTAAGCACAGTTTGAAAATTATCAAACTGTCTGTAGAAGGTATTTATAAAATAAGCCAATTTATCGCAGAACTCTCAAAATACAATGACAGCAGTTTTGATGGCATGCAAGGATACTTTATGCTGGTCAACGCTCAAAAGTATGCATTTTCTTAGTTCATGTTCCTCTAACTCAAATCTTTGTGTCATTTGATTTGCAGCTGGTAAAAATGGATGGCAAATTCTTTTTATTTTCAGTAGTGTGTTTAAACTTAACATGATACTAAGGTGACTTTTTTGTCTCTTGATAAAGGGAGTTGAATAAATATAATTTAAAAACATATTCAGAGTATCAGGAGTCATCAAGAGTAACTAGGCCAATTTTTGTTGTTAATTCAGGCAACGAAAGGATCCTTTTTCCCCCTGTTGACAGCTATTGTTTATTCTGTGACTTTTACATTAGTCATGTTTTCCTTTCAAGTGCCGAGCTTTCACAAGTAAGCATGTACTGTGAGGCCATTGACTTGTGTAGATGAGAGATTGATCTAAAAGTCGTAAAGGCAGGATACTTTTTTAAATTTGAAGCTGTTTATTTGAAGAAAAATGGTAAAAGCTTATTTCTGCCATGTTGCTGTACTGTGTTCATTCACATCAACAGAAACTTTACAGTGGCAAAGAGAATATCATAGTGCAGGCCTTTCTTAATTGTAACTAGTCTTATGTTTTTCCTTGAAGGGTCTTCCTAGTGACATTATTTGCTCCACTTAGTCTGTACAAGTTCTTTGGGTACTCAAACATTTTTAATTTTAGTAACATGCGTGCCTATTTCATAGTGAAGAAAAGTCAAGTAGAACTACTAGAAAGAAAATTTATTACATCTCTTTAGGAGTAATAACTTCCAGGAAAGGTGTATAGGATCTGAAAAGTGATTCATGTCAGTGATGGGATGGCACGAAAATCTGTTAAGGTTTCTTTTGAAGTGGGCAAGCAGTAGAATTATAATTGCCATAATTCTATGTTGCACAGACCCGATGAAAAAGGGTAGTCTGTTTGAATATCCTGATCTTAGTATCTTTTAGATCCTCTGCTGCCAAAGATCGGAGGAGGGGAGGATCTAGTGGTCTGAGCATTCTTAAAAATCTTAAAACAGGTTGTTAGGATATGTTGTGCCGTTGAAGATGAATGTATTTTCTCTTTTTGAGAAGTTTAAAATACACATTTCAGTACTTACATAGTAACAGTGATGTTAGCGGTGTCACTGGTTTACTAGTGTTATTCTGTACTTTGCCAGTTTTCTTTTTAACTCGCTAATTTTAAATTTTCTTATCAGATGAAATCATACTAGTGCCCTCAGACAAGACTCTATTTTGTGCTTTACAAAAAAACCCTAAACCAAACAAAACTGGTCAGAGAGTAGATTGGTTTAAATGAACATTTTTTCTTTCCTGATTTAATGCTTTAATACGGCAACTTTCCTCTTAAATGATTATGCATTATCTGTGTTACAACGGATATGTGTCTACATTAGCATGTATTAAGCTTTCTGTTGAAATGGAGAAAAATTGTGAAATTCTTAGAGGTAGATGACTTGTTGTGTTTCTAAAATAGGGTAAACTACACAGCCATATTGATTTGTATCCTGGAGCATTAGAATTGTGTTGGAGTGATACAAGCCAGTGGAAAAAAATCCTTAAAAGGTGAAGAGTATCAAATGGATCCAGAATTGTTAACTTGGATGTAGATTGGTAGGATTCGCATACACCATAGATGCAGGGACTTTGGATCTGAATGTCACTTCCACATTGAATTATAATTACATCTGGGAAAATAAGTGTAGCTTTTTTCTTGTTAACACCAGGAATTAAGTAGAAGTAATCCTGGTGTTTGAAGTCCTTCCTAAAATTGTATAAGCCTTTATCTACTCAAAGTAAGCTCTACGATTGTCTTTTTAGTTGGTCAAGGGAAAAAAAATTACTTTAGAGTTATGCTGTTTCTGAGGTAATCAGATCTCATTCAGCAATGCAGTGAAATGCAATTTTAAGTTTTAAATGTAGTTTGAAAGTTTTAATACTTAAGTGCCTTAATTTTTTTCCTGTACAGTATGACTATTAATATAGGTAATTCACTGTTGAGAACCTTATTTTTCAAGCTATCTGCGATTAAAAGTAAAATACTAAAAACAGATTGAAATGCTTACTGATTAATTTGGAATGTTTTTATTTATTGAAAGCAAAATAATGGCATCCTTTCAAATTTCATGTTGATTTGAAAAATTCATCACTTTAAAAGTGTGAACCTGATGGGCTGTAATAATTATGAATTGATAAAATGAGGCACCCATTATTTTTATTAGAATGTAAACCCTTGAAGTTATTAGGATAAATATGTAATACAAAATACTGAAATGTAGTCTTAAGTTTTGTGTGCATACTGTCTGCAGTTTCTGTGTGTACACTTTATGCACACTTTACACCTGCAATCCTCACTGCGTAGTCAGAAAACAGGAAAACTGTGGAAATCAGGAAAGTGACGTGAAATAGCAAGTTCGAGCAGACACCAGAAATGCTATACAGATTGGATCCATACGTAATATGTGAATAGGTAATGTTGTTTCAGAGGCAATAGCTTATTAGTCTAATTGGAAATTGGGTATAACCTCAGTTATAAAGCATAAATAAACCTTCCTTATTTCAGATTTAATAAAAGTTATTGCACATGTTCTGATTAAATATTCACTAATTAACAAGTAAGCATTCAAAGATTTTAAGTAGTCAGTCCTGAGAATTTTTCTTCATGTTACTCGTACCTTAATTAAAACTAACAAAAAAAAACCAAGAACAGCAAGAGCAAAACTTGTACAACTACAACAAAAACTCAAACCGACTAACCAAAAAAAACCACCAAACCAAAACCAGAAAGGTGTAAATATATTTGTAAGATGGTAAGAAGTACGTTGATATAAATGTTAATATACCTATTTGGGTATTTTTAAGTTTACCTGCCGAATCTAGGCAAGAGTATGATAAAGAACTACCTCACTTGCAAGCAATGTGCTGAACTGAGGTGTTAGTGTAAGAACCAAGGTTTTTTTTTTAATTCTTTCTTTATCTCCCAGACCAATACTGACCTTGTTCAGGGTTCCACTCTGAATGTTGACCAGAGATTATTCTGATGAATGCATATGTATTTTGTCTAATACATAGTACATCATATGTATTACATCACTGTAATATAGACGGCTATTGAGAAGTTAGGAATGATGTTTGGGGCAAAACCATCAGAGAAATCAAAAGAGGAAATTACTAAATTGTGTGAACCATCAATCTGAAACATTGTTATTGAGGAATGTCTGTTTAGTATGGAGACACCATTTTCTTTTA